AGATGCAAGCTGTGACAGTGTTCACTGAGAGGCACGACCAAGTAGCTTAATTGATGTGCAGGATCATCTGTGTGGCACATGGACAACACAGTCCCAAGTCCTGGTGGGAGCCATCATCAAACGCTGTTGAGAACAATGAGCTAAGGTCCTGTGTGACTCCAGACAAGCAGCTGTTGGACAACCAACCAGACACAGTGGTGGGCAGAGAACCATAGACCAAGACGGAAACAGCATGCACAGTTTGTGGCCAGCTGAGCATGGGTGTAAATGCACAGTGACTCATGTCACTATCCTCTGTGTGTGTGGTGTAATATTAGTGAGCCTCCTGACAGTCTGCTGATGCTCTGTGTCCATCGTTGTGTGTTGATGTTAAGCAGCACTACAGAAACTACAGACAAACTTGCACTAATCACCTGCAGGTCTCAGCCTCACCCTGCTGCAGCCGCTGTGTGTGCAAGCCCAGCCCTGCATTCTTTCCATCCCACTGTTTCTGTTTCATCTGCACATTTTTTTCCATTACCTCACCAGGCAGACACAAAACAAGCATATTTATTGCACCATGCTCTCCTTTCTAGCGCAGAAATAAAACTTGCACAGCTCAGCAAACATTAGTATTTAAGTTCAAACTGGGGTACAGTGATCATGTGGAGACAGGCCTCTACTGCCCTCCTGAGGTCAGTAGGCGCATAGCAAAACTATAACAGAAGATTTGGAAAATCATCATTTTGCTGATAATACTGACAAACCTTCAGGTCTTAGAGAAAAATGTGTCCAGCTAACTAGGTTAGTAGAACCAAGAAAGTTTAGAAAACTCTTTAGCAGAACCTGACTGTGTCCACTAGTTAAAAACATTTGTGTTTGTTAAAAAGAGTTTTCAGTGTTTGGCACACCTTTGTAGGGCTGTGCAATATGACCAAAATCTCTTATCCTGATATAAAACATTTATCGTCCCAACAACGATATATATCACAAAAATTTAACATTTTCAGCTAATTCTGTGAATCTCGGGCAACTTTATTGTGAAAGGTTTATGTGGAACATAAACAAGCGGACGGCGGAGCCAGATGATCGTTGTTGCTAGCGATAACGCATAAAAACAGTCGCTTGTCTGTCCGTAGTGTGGTTATATTAAATATAAGAGACTGAGAGATCTTTAAGCAGTTGTACAGTGACCATCAAAACCATGAAAAAAATATTGCCATAAACACTTTCATTTGCAACACCACAAATGGTAAATGGCCTGTATTTGTATAGCGCCTTATACTAGTATATATAGTATATATTATATATATACCATATTATTATTATATAGCGCTTTACTAGTCCCTAAGGACCCCAAAGCGCTTTACACATCCATTCACACACACATTCACACACTGGTGATGGCA